AACTCTGAACCAGCATCCAGTCAGTTAGCAGTAAAATACTGTGAGAGTAAATGTGAGAAACTGAATTACCACCAATTACTGTATTTGCCTTGCCATCCATTTTCAAATATGCCAAATAACCTATTTTGCAGCAGAAAGCTTTTTGTAAACTATCCAATTCAACTGGCTGTTCAGCTTCAATACAGGTATAGAAACATCTTCTGTTTACAGAAGACAGTATCTTTTCACTGTATTGTATTTTCATGACAGTAGGAGAGAAACTCACAAGAAATAAGTCATCAAATGGAATACAATCACCTGTTAAATCAGAGAAAAAAAACAGTACTGCCTTAAAGAATATATTTATAAAAATAGCAGATACATTGTTACCTTTAAATCTTTTCTGTTCATCTTTTGCCATTTTTACAGCTAAGGCCAGTCCAATTCCTGAGGAGCAACCTGTAATGAGGACATTTCTTCTTGCCATTCTTTTCACTGAGTGGTTCAAGCACGAGTTCTTGTTCAGAGAAGCAACAACCTAAGTGTAGCTACAGCATAATGTCATTGGTCTTTAATGCTATCTCCAGCTTTCCTGAGTCAACAAATCTGAAAATGCACACCTGGACCCTGCATGATTAAGGGATAATCTCCAACTAGACAAAACCAGAAACATATGCTCTTGCATGAGCTTATAATCTACATCATCAATTCAGATTCTATTTAATACAAAATTTGATTAATCTTTAAAATGAGACATTTGTAAGCAACATGGATTTTTTATCTTTTAGTAGTGGAATAACCAGTTTGCATACTGCTGGTAAGAAAAGCCTGGGCACAACTACCATCAGTCAGTAGAGGCAAGTCCTCCATGCACATCCATGCAAAGTAAACTGTACCCAAACTGGGATCCCTGTGCAAAAGGTGTTCAGACTTCCTATGCTTAAAGCATCCTCCTCATTTTTTTACAACACAATAAGAAATGGATTTCTTCCCTGATGCCTTATCATTGTAAGAGTCCCAATAGGCTTTACAGAAAAAGTAAATTGAAAAATGGGATCTGGATTTAGAAATGTTGTTTAGACAGATTCCTCACATTTCTCTTTGGCACTGTTCCCAGTCAAGAATAGAGAAATTAAGCAAGTCTGCTAGCAGTGGAGAAGAGACAGGAAGACCTTGAACAGACCAGCTTCACTACATTCTTACTAACACTGAAATTTCTTTCAAAACTTCCTATTCTCCAATTGACAAGCTGAAAAAAAAATAAAACAAAAAACCCCAAAACCATCAGAATTAGCGTGACGTCTGACTCAGTTTGAGTTTTGCAGGAAATATTCCACCAACTTTGCAAATAAATTCTTAATTAAACATAGGGACATCTGGACTGGTGACCTGGTGCAGTTGGTATTTCATAGACAGTAACTGTAAGCATACTACGTTCAGAAAGAAAATCAACCTCTTATGAAATTTACAACCGATCCTGAGTGACAGAAAAATAGTTGCCTTAATAAGCAATCAGCCTTCTGAACAGCATTCAGCTAATGGCAATGCCATTATGCACATTAAAATATTTCCTGGGATTCTATAACCCCATGTTAATGTAATGCAGAAGAATGAACTTAGTGTTTCAGGATTTGCATAGCTGTAAATGGATTAGTAATGCAATAAAAGTAGGACTCTACAGAAAAATTTAATTGAAATTATGATGATAGCAAAAAAAAAAAATCCCCTCTTTTCCAAAACAAGGAAATTCACTTAAACAGTATAACAAGTAGAATCATTAACTTCTCAGGCAAGCAACAAAATAGCAATACAGCATCTGAAGTTAATGAGAAAATGTAATTATGATTCTACTTATCAGGTTTGACCTACAGTTTTACCAGAGGAGTTAGTATCCAGATACCCAGTTTTAGTGCAAATGCTATTTAGCTGATTCAGGTATCAGGCAAATTGCTTTTGCTGCTCATGCACGTTTATATTTAGTGCATGTAGGAGGAGCAAGTGAGGCTTTATGTAACACTTCAGTAGTGGAATTCCACTAGTGTTGTGATGCAACTGTAATTACAGATTGGTTACATTTTCCACTCGAAATCCTGGTTTGTAGGGCTTACATGTTCCTTGCCTTTCAAAAATCTGTCTGAAATTTGATGCACAGATTTCTAGCCTGAAAGCAAGTGCTAGAAACTGGGGCAACTAACCATTTGTACTAGCTAAATTGTGTGGTACTTTTAGAAAACTGGAAATAAATATGTTTTAGGATGCATAGTTACGATGCCATTTTAATCAATGGTAATTCTGGTACAGATTTTGGAAAAAAACAGAACAGTTCCAGTTTTATGGCCCTGTCCCACACCTCTCTTCATCTGAAAAACACTGCTTGGAGTAAAGCAAGCAGGTTTTAATTGTGTCTATGATCAAATCAGTGTCCTCAAACATCTTACAAACTGGTCAATTTTCATAAGATATTGTGTCGGCAGTGTTTTGTGTGCACAAAAAAAAAGATAAAATATTCCCAAACAAAACTTATTAATAAGGTAATACCATTGTGCTCATAATTACAAGTTAGATCTGAAACACGAGCAGACAGTGTAAAATCCTTGGGGGAAAAAAGCTGAAATTAATTCCTGCAACTCAAGATATTTAAAAAATAAAATTTATTTCCCAAACAAAAATTAAAAAGTTATTACAAACTCAAACAGTTGGAAAAATAAAAAAAAAAAGTGGTCATTTACATCAGTACAAATAATCACAATTATTCACAAGTACAATAGTAAAATTTCCTCTTTGAATGCATGACTATGTCACCAACATTCCTGGGTTGCTGCTTGTCCGGTGAGCAACATTCTCTTCTTCACAGTTCTTGTCCCTGAAACAAAGTATGTATGATCAGAACCGTCCTGTAATCTGCTGCACTAAATTTGCTGTATCTAGGATTAAGATGTTACTTATAGTTGTTAAGATTTATCTTACAGATTCAAAAAACCCAGCTGCAGGCCTCAAGTCCATGGCTTCTTTCTCAAACTCTGCCTGGTAAACTGAAGTTATTCATGCATTTTTGTTCACTGTTCTTGTAACTGCAGTGCATTTGCTTTTAAAATGAGCATAATTTACAATTTTTTCAACATATTAAGTTCTAGCAGATAAATAGGAAAATATTATGCCGAATATTTTGAGAAAATATCTTCATATGCAAAACCCTGTAAGAATTTTGTACAGCTGAAAGGAGCACTATCTTTTGAAATAACTCTTCTGTGTAAGTCTTAAGGGTTTAGGTTGGACTGCATTTTAAGTGTTTAAGTTCCTAACAAGCTTCTAACAGTTCAGGAAATGTTTGTAAAAACCCTATCAATAGTATCAAGGTGTCAGGTGGAAAGAAGGCTACAATTTCTAGCAACACAAAGTGATGAAAATCTTATCAACTTTACTGTAGGCACTCTGGATTTTCTACAGTAAACAGAAGTAAACAGAGCCAAACACCCACCCACCCTTACTCCTGCTTTAAAAAGCAGGGTTACCTGCTGGACCTAATTATTTGACAGTTCATTTACGAAAAAAAAAAAAAAAAAATCAAATCAGGAGTATTAGGTGATGAAGAAAATGGTGTCTCTAGTATATGATCCAACGCATACATAGCACTACAGAGGCCATATGAGCCACTAGTATTTCAGAACATGGCTTAATATATAAAAGTGATTATGTTGTATCTACTCGTGTTTAGTGAGATGCTTATTACTTATGAGGAAAGCTATTTATAGAGTACACAGACATCTCTAAGTAGCACATAACAAGCTTACAGCTAATGAATAAAAGATTATTACAATAACTTTGTACTGTGTAAGCTTTTACAAAAAAGTATAATGACACTTTTTTTTTTTTAATCAAACTTTGCAAGCACTAATATTTTCTTACTTCACTTACCATTTTTAACACCATTTTATTTCTCATTTCAGTAAGGAATTGTGACCACAAAAGATTAATCTGCCTTTTTTTTTTTTAAATAAAGGAAATTAATTTCCCAGAAAAATGAAAGCGCCATTCTGGATGTTCAGTAAGGTGCTTCCAGTTCCTTTGTTTGGTATACTTAAAACTTCTAAGGGTAGCAGAGTGCTGTATTGCTACTAGATATTCACTGCAGATTAAAGCAGAGTAAAAACAAAGAACAATTCAACTGAAAAAAAATCTATGACCCAGTAATTTCACAAGTCCCAAAAGGGCAGAGTGGACCAGGACAGAAGTCAACCCCAGCTAACAATTCCTTCCCTGAACTAATATATTTCCTGTAATAGACAAGGAATGTAGTGTCTATTAAGGGGAAAACGAATGAGACAGACAACACACACACACAACCCCATCACCCCTTTTCCCCAGATCGATTGGGTAATTCAGTTTTTAGAACTAGGACAGAAATTTTCTGTGGAAGTTTGGTCAGTGAGTCCGCAATGTGTTACTAACAGAAAAAGTCTTTTCTTTCATCATGTTAATATATGCAATTTTTAAACAAAGAAACTATATCATATTCTAATTGGAGCAAGAACTCCTCTGCAATGTATTTCAATGTTTTATGTAGAATGCTTCTGAAATCTAGTGGTTTATGTACTTAACAACAATGAAAATAAACCTGACATTTCACTTCCTTCATCCCAAGACTCTAAAGGAACATGACTGGAGCAGGTCTCTTTTCAAAGCCTTTCTTATATAATTCTTGGGCCTCCCCCTACCTGGCATTCCTTATCAAAAACAGTATCAAGGCAATTTGTCTGGCAAGGAAGGGTCTACTCAGCAGTTGCACAGGGGCTAGATAGGAAATCCTTTCCTTCTGAATCATCCCCAAAGTATGAGGAAAAGTTGGAAATATGTTAATGATACATGTGAAGAGTAGCAGCAGGTACTGTCCTGTTTTCAACTGTTATAAATAACCTTTAACAAGAATTAAGATAGAAGATCTGACATTGCTGTAGTTTGCAGTGACAGAACTTTCTTATTTATCTGTGACATAGCCAAGCCCCCATGATCTAGAATATAGCCTAAATGCGTTTGGTGAGTACACAGAAAGACTTATCTGACATCTTATCCTACAGAAAGAAATAATACACAAACACAGGATAATCAAAATGTCAGAAGCCATTTCGGTGCTTACCTCTAGTTGCAAGCACCTTTTAATGAAGTTATTTCTGCAGAAACCCTGTTTATCTCAGATTTCATTTGTACTTGTAGTGACTGATTCATGCCCCAAACCAAAGATTTGTATAATTCATGAAATAAAATGAACTGCATTCTCTATTCCCATTCACTATGCTAAAAAATTCTCTTTTCTCATTTTTACAAATACACTAGAGCTCAGTGGTCGTTTTATGTAATTATTTTCACAAGATAAAGACCCCAGTCATAAGAAGATCTCATCATATAGCATATTGTTTCATTTCATTTCATTTCACGGAAGACCATGTCCCTAACAAGAACATCAGGTTACAAAAAGATAATCAATATTCAGATTTCTCAACAAAGGAAACAAGTAAGAGTGTGCCATTAAATTTATAATTTTTAAATCACTAAACCAGATTAACTTTAGGGCATTAAGATTCAGCAAACACCAGGATGTAAAATAAAATTACCTTGGGAGAAGTAATGATGCTTATTCTAAAAAGACACCATATATTGTTCCTTCTGGGTAGCTGCAGTAATGGCATTAAAAATTGATAATTTATTAAGTATTCAATGAACATTTTACCTTCGCAAGAGCTTCTAGGCTTGGTGGTTTTCTTTCTATTTTTTTCTTCAGCTGATTTATTTCTTGATCTCTCTGGAGCAATGCAAACTCTTTTTCACGAAGCTCATCTTTAAAATGCTTGAGTTTCTTCTCCAAGCTCTCAATCTGAACAGAAAATGCAATTAAACCAGAACAGGTATTTTATTGAAACCAGGACAATAAAAAAAACTCAACACCTAAAAAAAGACCCTCACAAATACCATCAGTATTAGCTCTGGCTTTTGATTCCCTTGTCAGTATTTTAATTTTTAATTTGTAAATATTTCCCTTTATTAAAAGAGCAGCTTGGGAGCTATATCATATCAAGGGAAAAAAAAAAAAACAAGAAAAAAAAAAAAAAAACACAAACAATTTTTACACTACTGTTCAACCATAACATATTTTTGCCTTGCACTCTTCTAGATGAAACCTGACTAGTTATTGTGTCCTAGGACCAAACTTTATAATTCATAGATATAATTCATAGAATTAGCTGCCCTTAATTAGGTAAACTGTTTTGTTTTGCTTTTAATTTAAGCAAGAATTACCTGTTTATTGCATTCCTTAATTTCTAACTCAGACTTCTCCAAATTGCACTCTAATTGAATTATTTGTTGCTCCATTTCTCCCCTATGTTCATGAACTGTCATATCCAACTGTGTAATCTAGAGGTAAAAAAGGAAGAAAATGAAATATTTTATTTAGAACTAGTAGGCAGATTTTAAGAAGCAATATTACAAAATGTGACAGCAAAAGGAAAGAAACTAATCCTTTGTAGTCTCAACAATATTCCCTCACATAGTCAAGACAAAGCACCCTAGCTGTCTTGCTTTAAAAACATGGGCCAAACACAAAGAGAAAAGCTGAAAAATGTGAAAAAGCCCACAACTGAGCATGTTCAGTCCTCAGAGATACAGAATACAAACCTAATTTTCATTTTAAACAGAATCTAACGAGTAGCTTGGTACACTAACACATGTTGTTAGAAAGTGACGAAGTTTGCCAAAGCAAAAGAAAAAAAAAAATTTCCTATTGCTTGGATGAACTCCTAGAGCAGCTCACTGAGTACCATGGCAAGAATAAATTGGAAGGTCTGGATTCCTTACAGGAGTAGTTCCATGAACAGATTTTTTTTTAAAAGAAAAATTTTTCACAAATCCACAAGCCTCCTCTCAGCACCTCAGATATTCTTAGATACAAAGGCTGGACACTCCTACAGAGGTAGCCATTAGAAGACTAATCATAAGTGACAGAAGAGTTCTTCCATAATGCGTATCACGTCCTGAAGCCAGGCCCAAAAAAAAAAAGAAAACATTTCAGGTGTTACATGTGTGACTCAAGTGTTAAGAGTGATACTGTTTCATATTTAGAAGGTGCTTTAGAGTTAATCAGATATACCCAGTGCAAACAAAGAAAGGAAATTTATCATTCCAAGCAAACTTCAGCGCAGATCCTTCCTTGGTTTTATTAAACATCTATACAACAGTTGTCCTGTAACTTTATCAGTAAGAAAAAATTATGGGACAGGTTTGCACGAGGCTTCTGTTCAATTAAGATCTGTAGTCCGTGGTCCCTTAGGGGAGCACAAGCTGGTTTTCCTGGTACCATAAGGCTTCAGTAACATACAGCTGGTTTTGAGGTTCACACTGTGGCTCTATTAACACTACAGGTTTGGAACAATGCATGAAGGCAACTAAACCTATTGGTTTTTTTTATCAGTTATCCACTACATAACAGGAATAATTGTCTAGTAACACACTTAAAATGATCTGACCTGAGCTGCTCTTTGTTTCACTTCCCAAGTCCTTTCTTTCAACGCTTGGTCCATGTTAAGGAGTTCTTGGGTTTTGTCTTCAATTTCTTCCCTGCAATACCTAAAATTCTCATGTTTAACTGCTTAATGTACATTCAGTCGCTTAGCTTACAGCATCCAGCTTGAAAATAATGAAATCTATTACTTACTTAAAGCTAAATCAGCTAACTGACCACAAAGAAAAAAACCCAAATGGAATAGTTAACAGAATTATTACAAGTGGAGATTTCCCAATAACTTCATTATTCAAATTATTTAACTGATTTTCAAGAGATGATCTTAAAAAGAATAGTACAGAAGAAAGTAATGTTAATTTATAGCCAGAAAGGAAATGGGACAATTTCACTACAAAAGAAAGTAAATCCTCACCATTAGTTCACAACATTCGGGTTCACAAAATAATTTTAGCAGATTTTAAAACGGAATTCAAAAAACAGAATTCAGCACCACTTTTAGAAATTAAAAGTGAGCTGAGGAGCTATTGTGTCGACTTACCTTACAGCCACAACCCACCTAAAAATTATAGAGTTGCTAAGAAAATAAAAACCAATCAAACTACTCACTATTCCTTAAGGAAAAAAAAATAACACAACTAAGTTTTCATGATGGAAAAGATACCAGCTTACCTGAGCTCAGTTGTTAGATCCATGATGGCAAGATGCTTCTCTTCCAGAGAGGACTGGGCATTCTGTAATGCATCTTGCAATTCCTGAAGCCGTGTTGAAGTGATTTTTAATTCTCCATCAGCATCCTGCAATGCAGATTCTAACTCTGCTATTTTCTGTAAGGTTTCCCCATGGCGAGTCTCATTTTGAAGCAATTTATTTTTTAAATCATTCACTATTTTACACACACAAAACACAAAATGGTTAGTCAGCAAGTCAATGTCTTTTTTCATACAACACCACTACACTCGTGCTCATTATCAATTTTCAGTATTTTTAGGAAAATCTAGAAATAAACAGTGACTTCTGAGCTTATACGACAATCTTTTCATGGCATCTAAATCTTTACAGGTTTTATTCAGCTCATAATGTGTAATTGACTTGAAATATGAGGATGTATCTAAAAACATCTGGGCAAGAAGAAGGTACAGAGACAACACAGGAACTGAATCTGTAGTGCTATGGAAAATGCAAGCAGGATTGTTAGTAAGCCTCCAGTTTACAAGGATGGTAAAATCAAATGGAGAAGAAGGGATTGGGAAATTTGTTATTTTCATAGACACACTGGTGGGGTTTTGTTTGTTTTAAAGAGCTGAATTTTTGTAAATAGCATATGCCTTTATTAAATCTATACATCTTGTTCAGTTATCACAGTAAGAAGCTGCACTACCAATTTACAGGGAAAACTACTTACTCATTCCATCTGGGATAAAAGTACATCCCACAGAAGTGAGAACTTGCAAATGTACACTAAAAAAATGTTTGTGGGTTTCTGAGGTTTTGGGGGTGGGGGAGGTTGTTGGTTGTTTCAGGGGTGGTTTGTTTGGTTGGGGTTTTTTTTGTTTGGTTGGGGTTTTGTTTGGTTGGGGTTTTTTTGGTTTTTTTTTTTTTGGTTTTTTTTCCTTTCTTGTAAAGCCTCCAGAATTACCAACATAAAAACACTAAACCCTTCATCAAAATGATCATATTTTTACTCTCACTGACTTGATTATAAAACAACAGGGAGGAAAAGCCAAGATATAAATACATACAAAGAAATAACACAGTGAATGGAAGGCCAAGAAACAAGGCTGAGAAATTACCCTCATTTGCCTTTTCATCGAGCTTGGATCGTGCTTCTTCCAAAGCCATATCCAACTGATTTATCTGCATTGTTTTGTCTTCACCATCTCGCCTTAATTGCATCACTTCTTTTTCTATGCCAGTAAGTTCATTCTTGAACTCATCCATCTCCGACTTACTTTGTCTAAATCAAAGAAGCCAACAGAACTAAAGGAACCTTGTAATAAGAAAAGTGACATACGTATGGTCCATACATGCTCTGAGAAGCATTTTTTAAAACCAGGAATTTTGAAAGTCATGTTAAGTAGGATTTTCTCACAATCAGCGATTTCTTTAAGAATACCAATCCCTCCTGGAATCTACTGCCTAGGATTACAAGCAACTTAATATATTTATAAACTGAACTGCATTATCAAGTGCCACCTTAAGCCTAAATAGGTTGCCAGAACATGTGCTAATTCCACTGGAAGACTGTTCCAGAGTCCCATGCCTCTGCTAGTTGAAACTTACCTCCTGATTTCCAGTCTTTGCTCATATGGAGACTGAACTGTATGACTGCACAGCTGAACACTATTTCAGAGAGCAATCTTTCCCAGCAATACGTTTATCTGCAGAATACACCTCCTGGTTATTTTAAACCTACCTGATTGTACTGTTAAGTTCATCCACCTTCTGCCTGTTTAAATCTGCTTCCTGGGCAGCTAGGCGAAGTTTCTCCTCTACCTTTCTTAACTCATCCTCTGCACATGCTTTCTGTTTCTGAAGCTCTTTTGCCAAACTGGATACCTATTTAAAACAGTATTTAAGAAGTGTTCACACTTTTAAATTACATACCAGAGAAATATACATCCTTATCTTAAAACTTTCGCTATGTGAGTTGCAACAAAACAAATTTCTTCACAGTCTAAAATTATATACAATTTAAGACTAGAACTTTGCAATCTCATCTGAAAGACAAATCGTTTCTAGCAAATATAAGTAGATTCAACTTTCTAAATTTCAACACAACTCTCCTTAACTGCAGTCTAGGCTTTGATATTCTAAGTATTTAGCCACCCTAATGCTAGCTAGTTTCTGATAGCACAGAACCTGGTTTAAGACAAAACAAACCACTGAACTCTTTATTTTAGATATCTCTAAACAATAACTCAATTATCAAAGAAACATTCAGATTTTAAAAGCATTACAAAAACATATATGAAAGTGTTTAATGATCTGTCTTTACACAGATGCTTCTCACCATACTCTACCTGGTTTTCAAGTTTCATTTCATTATCTTCCAGCTCCTCATTTCTAATAGTTTCTTGCTGCAACACTTCCAGCAGATGATGCAAACTCTCTTGTAGGCGAATGTTTTGTTCACTTTTGTCCTGAATATTCTGATCTTTTAGTTTTATTTCTTCCTGTAAATAACAAACCTGAAAACATATTCATTTTCCATTAAAATAAAACATTTTTAATTGCACTTGCAGCAGCTATTCTTAATGAGCACAGAATCACACCAGATTCAATAAAACTTATGGCTCTTAATTTAGTTGCATTACAGTTTCAACAGTACATAACAACTCATAATTCATCACCATGTTGTGCTTTATAAAGTGAAGAAATAGTAACTTTATCAGCCCCAGGTTCTGACTGCTTGCCTTCTAAACACACCTAAGCTGCTCAATATTTTAAAAACATGTAACAAAGATTTTTTTTTAATTTCTAAATTACTGAACTACTTTTACTTCTGTCTCCCTTCTTACTTTATTTCTCAAAAAGTTCTCATTTTCCACTTCAGATTTTGTTCTAATTCCTCCCTTCTATTTCTTCCTGCTTCTGTGACAAAAAAAAAAAAAACAGGAATTCTGAACACCTAACTTCTCACATGTTCCATGAAAAAACGGAAGGATCTTAAGAAACATAAAATCACTAACTGCTCCTCCAAAATGGAAGCAGCAGCTGGGGGGGGGGGGGGAAATCTGTCACAACTACAAAGCCTCATTTGCCACCCTTGAGTTTCATACAGCATCCAGACTCTTCATGTGTAGCATAGGAATGACAGATTTTAGGGCTCAGAAAGCAGCACTAAATATCACAGGTTTATGCATAACACAGACCGCAGGTTTCCACCTAGCTACTCCTCTACAGGGTCTAGCAATCCCTGTCTGACTAAAGCCTGGCAGGGCAGCACTGATACGAACAGCCTGCTGTGATAATTAGTTCATGTAGTTAGGCATCCCCACAAAAGTTCATACTAGTAGTATTTAAACATAATTCCTTCTTGATTTAATGTAGTAATGGAAAGTATGATAAAACTCGTGGAGCTGAAGTAAAAATTTTCTCACGCTCAGGACTTCTTCCCCTTTAAGATATGATTAAGTTGAGCAGAAAGGAGTATATGAATATCTCAGAGGAAAATAATGAGATTGTGTAGCATTAGACAGAAAATTAACTAAAAATCAGAAAATACAGGGAATAGACCTAACTTTTTAGTTGGACATCTGCCTCAGAATTACTAGAAAAAAAGAACATAACATAGGAAAAAAGTTACTAAGTATAACACTAGTACGTGCTAGCACACAAGGAACATCTTACTAGTTCAATCTGTTTCTCCATCTTTTTGTGCTGCTCAAGGTGAACCAACTTTTCTTTTTCAAAAGCCGAAGTTATTTGCTCACGTTCTTCACTGATAATTGTTTCCAACTCATGAATGCGTCTGTTTTTTCTCTGTAGAACAGCAACAACAAAAAGGACTTATCAAAAACATTTAGCTGTGATATTAAAGAATGTTTTATTTGATGATAGAATTCTTAGATTTCATATTAAAACAACACAGAAAACACTGAAGTTACACACAGCACGGCTCCTCTCAAAGAATGTCACACCTGTAACACAGGTATAGATGGCCACTAAGTGCAGCCACTACACAGAGACAAGGGGTCTGCCAAGGTGGACTATTGGCACAGATTATAGCAGCCGGAGCAAGGAACTTCTGACAAACACAAAAAGAAATTCTGTGTCCACATGGATACATGGAATGTTTAAAATACAGGTTTCCATCTGAAAGGGACCACATAAATTGTTTCCCTTTCTAGCAATCTGAGACCCTTTCCCAAAACTAAAAAAGTTTGCATAACAATGTGTCCTGGTTCAGTGTAAAAAGGGGTTCAGGGCAGGACCCACATGGAACAGAACTATGTACTCACCTCTCCCCCCCCCCCCGAGAGAGAGAGAGAGACACTTTGGGAACAAACAAAAAATAAAGTATA